GGGGGGGGAGGGTGAATAGGTTTTCGGATCGTCGAATTTCACAAAAAAAATTGTTCGGATTTCGGATCTGGCAAATATTTTACACGGATTTGCGGATCTTATTAATACAGCGGATTGCGGTTTATCTAATATTTTGGCTCGGATTGTGGATTTAGCCTGCAATTTAGTTCGGATCCTGGATTGTGACTTCATAGTAGAGCTTTCAGCGGATCCAAATTTAGACAAGACCATTGTCGGATTGCGGATTTTGCTTCAAATTTGGGCGGATCGGCGGATTTGTATACCCCTATCCCCCCCCCCTGTTAAACACTCGGTCAGTTTCCTCAAACATTTCTTACAACTATCCTTCATGAAAACTTAGAATTTACCGATGCAAAATTCCCACTGTGATCACAGAAACTTTGATAGTGTAAACCAGCTACATATTGTTGACTGTAGACCTTCAAGTGTTTGATATATGTCTGCATTTCCTACATCATGATCATGATGTCTCATGATGATGATGATGATGATGACGTCACGATGATGATGATGACGTCATGATGATGACGTCATGATGATGATGATGACGTCATGATGATGATGATATCATGCAACCTCGTACCCAGGGCTAGTCGCGAATTGAAGGCGGCGACGTAGAATTTCGCGACTAGCCCTGGGTACGAGGTTGGATATCATGGTGATGATGATGACGTCATGATGATGACGATGACGTGATGATGATGATGATGGCGTCATGATACAGGAATACATGTACAATTTTCACAATATTTAGATCGTTCAAAATCGAAAAACAGATGTAAAGTTATCTACAGGATTTCTTTACCTGTGTTGTACGTTTTCGTTTCCAGCAATCAGGATATATCTTCTTGTGTTCGTCCGCAAGGTTCTTTGCTTCCAAGATGTAGACCTTGCGATCTTCTGAACTTAATGACTTCCATTCATCTCCAAGAATTACGCTTATCGCTCTGGCAAAGAATGGTGAACGAAACAAACTCCTTTCAAAACATGATTTACACTGTGTTGTGTATTACCTGATGTAAAGTGTATTGCCTTATGTGAAGTTTAAAACCATTATACTTGTAGTTTGGAATTGTGCTGTGGATGGTACGAAGCATGTCGAAGGTCAGTTGAAAACACGGTGACTAAATCTCAAGCGTATGTAGGGGTCCATTGTGGGTAATAAGTTAGAAGATAAAATACCGAGAATGCAAACCACTGCTAATGAAATGGTCTGTTGTTAGACAATAAAAAAAGTCCTATACCTGTTATCCTTGCCCGGATGTTTCTGCGTGATCTCCAGCCTGTATCGTTTTGCGAACAGCATAAACGCGTTCATAGGTCTTCGTGAGCACGAGTTGGTGTTCTTTCTTTTCCTAACTCGTGTTCCTTTGCGTTTTACAATCTGTAGCGTTGACTCCAGTTTCCTCTGATATTCCACATGCTCCTCTTTTCTCTGAAACAGTTCCACAGCAAGTTCAATTTATTCAATAATTTCCGAAACCCTCAGTGATACATAGCGCCTATACATTGGTAAGAGCCTTGGACACTGTGCAACGCCGTCTTCCTCTGGGGCACGGAATGGGTTGTCGCCCTTGACACTGTGTCACCCATAAGTGATTGAATGATTTGTGCTATCCAAATGAAGTCCTGAAAATTCAACTTCCAAATGTCCCAACCGAGAATGATCTGGTTGCCACATTCAAAAATTTATTTTTCTGAAATGAAATGTTTCGATTGAATTTGAACATAGCAAAGTTACATTTCTCACCTTAGCCATATTACTTAAAGCTTGGGCTGCTGAGTCCAAATCAAAGAGAACAGACCTATAAATCAAGATAAAGCAAAGTTGAAGTGTGGTGCCGTGGCATCCCTTCTCCTTTCTTCACCCCGCTTTCTGTCTGATAGGAGGGACTACAATCACTGAGCTGTATAATAACTGGAGGACCTGTTGTCGTACTTCCTTCATTCAACGACGTGTCACCAAAAACATGGCGGATTTTGATGAAAATTGACGCCATTTCCGCATTTCCATGACGTCATGGCGATGGCGTCAAATCCGCCATGTTTTTTATGACACTTTTTTATGCCGGGCAGGGCCTCCAGTATTATAGTATAGCTCAGTGACTACAATACGTTATGCAGGACACGGAATAACGTTTATTTCAGTCGCGGTCAACCGGATGAAAAGAATGGGCAGGATATAGTATGAAGATTTAGGCAAGGAGCTCGGGAGTGACGAAGCAAATTGTGAATCCTAGATATACCAAGACACGCAAAGGACAAAAAGTACAAAAAAAGCGTTACTCACGTCTTTTTGTCTTGTGTTTTTGTGGTAACAATTTCATTTTGCGTTGTCGTTTCTCTTGCATTGGACAGAGGAATACACACATCACCCAGCAGTAACTCACGACAAGGAAGTCCAAGGCAGTTTTGATTGCTGTTGTATTTGGACCATGGAGTATTATAATTGAAGGATGAGTTTTCTTCGATGTTTGGCAGCTCCGGTTCGATGTCTTTCATGTTGTAAGGTCGAAACAGAGAGGAGGTCTGGGAATGAAAGAATATACGCGTGGTAAAAATATTTACTGTTCCGCATGTTGTAACCAATAATCTATTGTAGTTGTAAAGCCATTGTATGCAATAAAGTATTGGGTTGTAATGCATGGGTCTACAATTACAATAACCCTAGCATTGGGCTAGTATTCCAAAGGTCGTAGGTTCGATTCCCACCGTGGACAGGCATACTTATCAAGCTTGCCCGGTGTGGATATACACTCAGAGTAACATCACAAGCATCATACTAAAAAAGTTCATAGTATACCTTTGTAGTTACAGTTTGTCTGTCATCTCGCTGGTGGTTTAGGTAGTGAACAGAAGCATGGCGAGTGTCTGAACATAACTCGCGTTGTATTCTACACTGTTCATCGTCGGTTAAAGTTTTTGCGTCAAGTCTGTCCCATAATGATGTTGTCGGCCAACTAAGTAGCGGAGTCTCGCTGCACGATGATAAATCACGCATGTCAGTTGATGGCGTAACATGCTCAATACTTGGAAGCTGGAAACGAGTGAGATAGTCTGGCGTTAGACAAAGTAGCGTGCCATAGCAAGGCGCATTAGGGCGCATTGCGGCTGAATGGGTTAGAAACGGCGCTACGCCGTGCGGTTGTGGTTTCTTTTGTATTTTCCACATGAATTATTAATACATTTTTTTTACGTCAGATATAAAGATACGACGCGGCGTCGAGTATCTTTAGGTCTGATAAAACACGCACTGCGAATGTTTTAAATTGCTTCAAAAAACGATCGATCTAGTAAGTTCATTGGCGAAGTAATTTTCAAAAAATACGTTGTGTAAGTCGAGAAAATTAAACTTAATGTTTTTGTAAATCGAGGGAAATTTTTATCACATATAAAGATACGACACGCTTATGATTATTCAAGTTTGTCAAAGGTGATTGATTCCACTGCAAACAAGCGGTGAAAATGTATAGCTTTTACCTTAAATGCATTACTTGCTGTGCCATTGTCACATGACATTTCCTTGACCAATGGGCTTTCAGGACTTGTAGCGATTGCCGCGAATTCTGCAAGTGGACTGAGGAGAGGCCAGTACTGAGCCTCTGTATTGCATAGAACTAAGGGCGGCGGTTTTGATTTCTTTTGCGGCTTCATACTTGGTGACTGCAACATTATTGTGTCTTGCTGGAATTCACTGGCTGGGCTAAAAGCCATGACTGGTTTTGACTCGACCTAGGATAAGATTTACACGCAAAAATTCACTTGTCAGGAAGCAAGTATGTTTCTACCCAAGGAAACATGGCTAGGAAACAATGTTTCCTGTTTTGCCCACCTTCGAAAAATACGGCTAGGAAACAACGTTTCTTGGTTTGTCCACCTTCGGGAAACATGGCCAGGAACTGACAATGTTTCCTGGTTTTATCACCTTCGAAAAACATGGCTACGAAACAATGTTGGCTATAGGAAACAATGTTTCCTGGTTTATCCATCTTAATTTGGGAAACAGGGATAGGAAACAATATTTCCCAGTTTGCTCAGCGCTTTACAATGACGCATGCGTAGTGTAGAAAAAAAAACGTTCACAGGAGTACTTGTGACGTCACGCATCAGGTGATGCAGGTAAACTCTCTGATTGGATTAGAAACGTGATGTACAAACATTAACTAGCCTCGCATTGTCAACTAAGCTTATCCCTAATCCCCATGTCATTGTGGGCTTACAAGTATTGACATTACGGCTTTTATTGCCTGCAGAAAACAACAGCCGCTCTACGCAATTCACCAACAATATTTACAAAACTAGAAACGAAGCTAAATGGAAAAGTGCATTCCAAAAATTAAAGACACATCTCTGACAATGGATAGCAATGATTTACGCAGCTATATAGTTTTTAAGATGATGTTTAATTATCGAGAGCTTTCAAGAACTTAGTTCTCGTTCATTCATTTAGTTTAGCGTTAATCCCTAGCTTTGAATGAGTGCGCTAAAACCCCAAAACAAATTCCAACCGTCTGACACAGTTGCCCGCCATTTTTTCAATCAAAAATTGTTGCCAGTATTTTATAAGAGTACTATAACCAGTAAAAAGTTGAAGTCACTTTTATATTCCCATTGCATAGCTCTATCAGTTCTAAAAAGGTTCCCTCTAGAGGTCCTCTAGAGGTCCAGTAAGGTCCATATCCTTTATTGACCCAGGGTTATTACAGGAGTAAACCGCTTCGCCCATGTAAAACTTGTGGCTGTCGTGTTTGGTGAGTGAAACTGAAATCTCACTTACGATCAAGTGATAGATATTGGAATCGATAAAAGCGAGTATTGAAGCGGCGACTTATGTCCTGGTCAAACAAGAACAAGAGTTGCATGAGAGTTGATGAGAGTTGATGAGTTGACTGGTTGATTACCACGCGCATAGCGAAAACTCTCATCAAAATTTGAACCCACTAAAAGTTGATGATAGTTGATGATAGTTGGCATTCAAACGCGAGCGCCCGAGAGGTTGCAACTTTCATTAACTCTCATCCTCATGACCGGAGCTTTATGCAATAACTCGCATCTGCTGTAAATGACCAACCTAACTACGTGATTTACTAGAAAATCATCAAATCTTATCCAACTTGCTCTGAATTTAATATTCTGTGCAAGAAAAGTGAAGAAGACTACAAGTCTTAATTAAACACAAATGCAATCTGCAATGAATGAAATGCTCATACGAAATGTCATCAGCTAGGGTCATCGACAGCTTATGATGGTAATAAAAAAGCACTAAAAGATTTTAAGGATAAAAACCATCTTTTTGCATGATTTCAATGTTTGGAATTACGTTCCGCGAAATGTTGCCTCAGTTCTTTACTATTTCTGGGCAAAATCTGTGTTTGGGACGCAAATCAAGTTTATCGAAAATGAATGAAATTTGAGTTACATAAACACACGGAAAATTTGACTTGAAATTATTTGGTAGTTAAGTACCTGTCCATATGTCTTTCTATCTTGAAAGCTAACAAGTAATGCTGTAGATTTAGCGCCAAAACTGAATACCTGTTTTCTATATCTAGTCAACTATGCCTTCGGGCTATTAACTATGTCTCACAAGTGTACTGACTTTAGGGCATGTGCAATTGTCGCAATTGATGCAATTGTCATTGATTGAACCTAAATTGTACAACGTTTTGAAATTGTACTGTCGTCTGTGAACGCGTTCTCGCTAGTCAACCAAAATCACCCCACAAAACTAAATTGCAAATTTTACAGAGACTACGAATGATTTGGATTTCTACAATACCCACATGGTTTTCTAAGAGCTCGTGGTTTGGCCTTGTCGGGCTCTTGCATCGGAATGAATGAACCATGTTATAAATAACCTACTAGAGGATTATATCAGTTACAAACTAGAGTTATTAAACAGTTTATTACCTCGATGTTATCTTGCAATGTTTCACACTTGCGCACGTCAGCAATTTCGTGCAGGCTTGCAATCTTGTCCTTGATTCTTTTTGAAACGTCTGGCTCAAATGCAATTTAGGATTGTTTCATTGACTGAACTCCTGCAAACGCCAGACGCCATTGTCTCCTAAAATATTTCACCATGGTAATTTTAATGGCGCTATTTGATTGGTTTTCATGTTTGGTAATTACACTTCATTCTGGCTCGTCTGTCAATAGGAATGCGACACCACTTAATCCGTGTATTGTATTGCGCACGTTCATTCAGTACTTCATAAATATGCGCAAATATATTAACTTTCCCCCTGCTGATCGCAATTGAAGAACTGGACCGTGCTGTCCTAACACTTGCATGATGATTGCATCTATTAAAGATGTCAAAGATGATAAAAAGATCGATAAAAAAAATGTATTCTCTAAAACGGACATATATCTAATACTGACACCTTGAACTCTCTAAAATACGGACACGGGCATCACTCTGATACAGAGTCACAGACACTTCTCGGACAGTTTCCAATGACCCAAAAAATACATTATACATAATCTTTTCTTTACTAATAATGTAAATCCTCTATAAAACGGACACCTAACGTTTTTGCGTTAACGTTTTTGCTGTTTTAATTTAAACGTTAAAGCCCAAGCACCAAGCACTGTTCAGTTTCATATATGAGATCAGAGGAAACGAAAGTTTTGACGTCGTAAAATATTTACGAATTTTTGGCGGGTAATTTATTTTGGACTTTGGAGAGAATATTGAAATATTTAGTATGGTGGACCTTTAAAACAACATAAATTGCTGTATTGTTGAAGAAATGCCTTCAATTTGTGGATGCTTTAACTATTTTTGGTATTAAAACAGTGTTGAGTGTATATATATATATATATATATTTGCTGCAATAATATGGCATCCACTCACGTGCAATCGTTTCAAAGTCCTACAAGCAGTGCTGGTATTAGAGATTCAAGACAAGAAACACGACGAGAAATTATGGATGAATGTGAAGTAACCTGGGAGAATATTCAAAAAGTAATGCAGTTAAATCTTTCAATTATAAATAAACACTTACAGAATTTGCTTGAGTGGTGCAGGTGCCCCCCCCCCCTGGAAAGTTGCATGGGCAAATGTTAAATATCTATACACTCATAATTCAAGGGGGGATGGGAATAAATATTTTTTCATGCTTCTACAGACTCATCACAGACTGGCAAGTCGCAAGAAAGAGAGACCTCCAGTGGGAACAGACGAATCAAATGCAGTAGGTGGTGTTTTGTGTATGGAACTATAACGATCATGTTTGAGAAAAGATCCACTACCCCTTAGGAATACATTTGTTCTGTTAGGAAGGGAATCTACTTAGGAGGGGGTTGCAGGGGGATTTTTCTCTTGTATGCCTATGACTTGATCAACCATCCAAAAATGTTTACTAGTGAAATTTTATGTTAATCTTGTAGACTTTAAAAATTCTTCAGCACAAAGAAAAAAGATTGCAAGCTCAACTAGATCTTCGTAAAAATCAAGATATTGAAGGTTTGTATTGTTGGCAATATAGTCTGATGATTGTTTTACTCTCACTGCTGATGTGGACACTCCATTGAACCTCTAAACTTGGAAATGCTCTCACATTCCAGCAAGAGAATGAACGATTATTTAGGGAGAATCACTGATATTGGATGAATAGATAGCTTTTCTTACAATGTTGTTGTGTTTATTTATGTAGTGGTTTCCAAAGACCCACAATTTGTGGAGACACTTCTTTGGAATGATGTAAGTTCAATATGTTTATACAATTATTTAAGAGTTTTGCTTTCATAAAAAGCTGCAGGCAAAATGACTCCAAAGTGCAGAAACTGCTCGTATTAAATTGGGTCATTCCAGAAAACATCAGAGGAAATTGGAAGTCACCCCTACCCCACAAACCCCCACCAGAGAGGAAAATTGGAAGTCCCCCCTACACACCCCACTCCTACCCACACACCTATTGCCCCCTACCCACACACCTACCACCCCCTACCCCCTATGGATGTTCTAACACACTTACTGTTATCAGAAACCAATTTCCCCCCTCCGCCTCTGGAACGACAGAAATTTCCTCTGTTATACTCAGTGAGGGGGTGTGAATCTTGTGTAGAATGACCCATTCTGAGTTTGTTTCGTGCTAGATGAAGAAAAACATTTCTCACCTCCAACAAGCCTTGGGGATTGTGAAGGAGCAAAGAGTGGAGGTTGCTGGTGACATAGCAACGTGAGTGTACATTTATAAATACTACAATCATTGTATCAGAATATACTTCCTAATTAGGGTACATACTCCTCTTCATATCATTCTTCTAACTCGAAAATGTAGGGCAAGAAAATATTTAGAAGAACAAAAAGCAATACAGAGATCTTTGGAAGAGAAAATCCAAGCATTTCAACTAGAAGATGATGAACAGCAACACACTAGGTAACTATTTGATTCTAACAGGAAAATGCATGGTTAATATTTGGGACCAGGGTGTTATTGGAGATTACCTCTGTGGTCAGTCCCTGCCTGTACTGTAATTGTAAATTATGTAATGGTTTAGTGGTATTTATGTTTGTGTGTGGCAAATCTTGTAAAATAAAAATAATTTTATTTCCAATTTAGTGTACTGGCTGAACTTCAAAGCAAGAAGAAAGAAGCTTCCAAATATCATTTAACTGTAATGAATCAACTGGTAAGAATCTTCTTTTTAACTAGAGAAGTTGTCACCTTTTTTCTGTTCAAATTTCTAAATCAAATCAAAGTGTTATTTCTCCCATTTCTTTATAGGGCAAGTTTTTATCAGATCATTTTCCAGCACCAAATGACGACAGTGATGACAGCGAGGTAAAGCTGTTCTACGACCAGTACTCTACTGTGATATCCCATTGTCCCGGGTCACTTACTGTGCTATGTACTGTAAAATTCCTTGTTTTTTCTCTTCTAAATATACTATTTTTCTCATAAAGGACAACAGGCCAAGGCGTCAAAGACAATACTGTAGTTTGCAACATATCATTGAGGTGAATGTATAATTTACTTGATCAACCAGTAGACATACAACTGATATACTTGTAGTATATAGTGACAAGCGACATTACTTCTTCTGACGTCCACTGCAGTTGCCGATTGTAATAACCCTTTAAGTGTTTTAATTTCTAGTTTAATTCTCACAAAATGCACATGTTTTCTCCCCACTAGAGCTCTATGGAGAGTGATTTAGAACTGATATAACTATCCCATATAAAGAATTTCAAAGTAATTCAAGAAATAAACTCAACATTTCTGTTTTTCAAACAGACGTTGATGAACAGATTATTTGAAAGTCCTCATGATTGCTACGTGAAAATCTTACCAACATATTGGCAACCTTATATACAACTATTACTTCGATCTAACATCATACAGCGACATCCTGATAACTGTGATCTCATTAGACTGGTTGCCTTTCACACCTAGCGCGGTAGGAGAATATCATTATTTTATATTACACGTGTGATGTTACTGCAAAGGTGAAACTGGAAAATTTGCACCAATTGCAAACAGCCTGTAGCATACCCTTTGAGTACCGCGATGGTGTATGGTGCTTAGAAAAATTTTGGCATGTTTTATGAAACCATTGATACATGTACAGTGCATGTACAGTACATTGTGTAGGTTAAAAATAATTATGCACTTACTGTAATAGAGCAAATTCCACTCAATGCTTAAATACTTTTAATATTTCCATGTACATGTCAGTATATTAGCAATGATATTTAAATAACAATACTTTAGTTTTTACCCTTTATAAAATTTATACCAAATATACATCCCAAATAAACACGCACTGATCCATTTACAAGTTGAATAAATCTTTAAATGCCTACTTGCCAGCATGCACGCCTTAAAAAAAACATGTTTACCCAATTAACACAAAACCAATAAGTTAATAAGTCAGTATGAAAATGTCCACAGGAATTTTATCAGTGTTCAGTATTAAAATATAATTCTGCCTGTCCTGCAGGACTAGAGTACGATAGTTAAAAATTGGTATAGTGCATGATGCCTGTCACTTGACTTTGCCATGTATAATAGTCTTGATATGTTGGATGGTATGAAGAAGTCATTATAGCTTGTGAAGCACACTCAGTTGACTGGTATGAATTCCTCCTAGACTGACATGAGGCACACTCGCACACTACATGTGATGGGTAAACATACGGCATCTGTAAAACAAAACATTAACTTCATTTGGAGGCCTGTTTTTAAGCCTGTTTACACTTGCAATAAAGCCTGCATTTTACACTTGCAATTCTTGCGGCTATTTCTTGTGTGAATGGATTTTCTCCTTTTGATGCATGTGAACGAGTTATGAATGGTCTCAGTATATCCCTCATAACTCATCCACATCGAAAGAAAAAATTCGCACCAGATATCACAGCAAAAATTGCAAGTGTGAAGAACAGGCCACAACTATAGATCTAGCTTGCTCAGCAGAATTCCTCTAACTAGTGCCAGTTATGACAAATTTGGGTGAAATACATTGCATCTTTCTTTCTTGCCTGTGTCTGGATGGCTTCTGTTGGGTAAAGACCAGTCATCGCATTATTGACATTGTACGTCTGATTCATTGCACCTACTCCTAGAGACAATAAAAGTCCTTTGGTAATGGAATTTGTGAGGGGAGATGTTTAACATCCCATTTCCCTCTGTGGGAGAGGTACCATTCAATAACAAATTGTGTTGTCCTAACATTAAAAATTAATACTTACTCTCAAAAAACTTCTTCTCCCTTTGTAATCGAAGTTGCAAACCCTAAAATTAGCAGAAATATAGTTGAATAAAACTAGTAGAAATATAATTGAATAAGTATCTCAGTACAGTCTTGGAATTGATGTAAGAGCCTCGGGACAAATTTACCTTCTTTCGAACAGCTGTATCAACTTTCAGTTTCACACCATCCTTAGTAAGAACAAAACCCTGCAAGCACATTAAGTCCATGGAAATGGAAATATGAGACCCCAATAAAATGATAAAAGTATTAACCCTTTAAGTGGCAATGCACCTAGCTACTTTGTTATTTTACCCTGTCTAATGCCAGGTGATTTTCCTATTTGTATTAGGGAATCTTAATTGCATGTAGATGTACAGTTTAGGTTCATTTTACAATATCGAACCAGCTCTACCAACCTTTTTAACAAGTTCCACTGCATCATTGGCATCGTAAAATGTTACAAATCCATAGCTGAAATATAGAGCATTTATATAAGTAAATTCGAATAACAACACCATGCATGTCTACAGCACATCTTATCAACACTATTACCCTTTCTTCCGTCCTGTTCTCATGTCAACTACAATTCTCGTATCCTGAACGTTAAAGTCAAGGTCTTGAAAAGCAAGGTGCAACTTGTTTTCACACATCTACACAAACAAAACAGGTATTTTGTACAATTAACCCATTGGGTCTTTCCAGAAAAGATCCAGCCTTCCCCCACAGAGGAAATTTCTGCCATCCGGAGGAGGGGAGAAAACATTTTTTTCTAATTATAGTAAGTTAATTAGAACCTCAGGGGGTGTTAACACTTCCAATTTCCTCTATGGGGGAGAGGTATGGATGTTTTCTGGAATGACTTATTGGCAACCTCTCCCTTTGGCAAGTAAAATTGTCTAGTACTAGGCAAAAGTATGCACGATCAAATTTAGTTCCATAGAGATGTTGGTATTTGATTGTATTGTGAGTATGAAAGTTATCTTACCCAATCTGGAATACTTCCAACAAAGATTCTGTTTGTCACAATTATACCTTCAGATGTAACATATTCCTAAACAATTAGAACCAAATTCATACATAGCCGTGCAAGAGAGTTCAAGTCCAATTAACAAAGGGGGTCAACTGTATTGATTTGCCCAGCTAGAATGCCTGGCTCTGAAGAGGTATTGTCTTGCCCACCCTTGATCATCAGTGGGATATGCCTTGTCCTGTTTAGAAATGTATAGACAAATATCAATTTTTAGACATTTTTTCTACATTAACCAGTGACCTTAGGTAGAGTGACCTTGGTATAGTGACCTTAGGTAGAGTGACCTTAGGTAGAGTGACCTTGGTATTGCATGGTGAAACAGTTCAGTTTCTAAATTTAGAAAAATACACGGCAACATTTTTACTCATTTCCACAAATAGCAATGACGTGAAATGAACCATGGATGGACCATCGCGACGTATCAAATTAAAAATAGCTCATAAAGTACCATGGCATCGTTTCAGAAATAGCTCTTAAATAGAGTAATGCAAAATTTAAATGATAAATTTTTTTCGTTTAACATCCTCACTGCTTTAGTAAGAGATTGACAAGTGTATTTCTGTTTGAACTTTTTACAAATACGTCACAAGTTACACAACCTCGTTCCCAGGGTAGTTACATAGATTTAAATTTACAGTCGTTGTATGAGCGGAATAATTTGGGATATAGACGGCGGTAATTCAGAGGCGGTAATTTGAAATACTGCAAGTACAAAAAGGCGGGAAAGTATACCGCACTATGTCTACTGTCTGCGAAATTTTGGCACAAAGACAAGTTGAAGCAATCGACACTAGTATTTCACATATATATAACAAGGCTAAAATACTCCCAATGTGACACACTGGTTATTGCAACTGTTACAAAGAGCAATTAGAATAAAGTAGGTTTCGTTCTCCAGTTTCGATCGTATTATTAAAGCAATTTTAGTTTGCGTGGGTGCAGTTTTAGTATTAACAAAGTAACTATACAACCAGCAGCCGGCTATTCAGTAAACCGCCGGCTATATAGTGACTATAGTTACAATATAATAACTTCTGTTGCGCTAGCTTTCACCGAGCTTGCCGTTTATAGCGTTACGGTAAAGGCGCTTGCGTGCGAAACTGAAGCGCGCATGCAGTCCGGGTTGTGTTTCGTCTGACTTTTTTCTTAAACTTTTTCCGCCTTTTCTAACTCTCAAAAGGTTAGGGGATAGGGGTTAGAGAAGGGGTTGGGGTTAGAGAAGGGATGGGGGTTAGAGAAGGGGTTAGTCACTATTTTGGCGGCAATTTTATATACTATTTTCACTTCGTTTTAGTAATTCACTTTTTCACCTTTTATTTTTATATATACAAGATAATTTTAAAGCAACAAAGGAGAGTACAGACATTTATTTTAAAAAAGAATATACATTTTATTCTTTTTTTTATAAACTTGGCTTTTCAACGTTGGAGGTCCCCCACTTTACGCACGCGATGCAATTACAAGAAAATAAACACGGAACAACACACTTGACATATTTGTTGACCTCAACATTTTCTGTTTCATAAGCAGTTTCATAAACTAGAGTGTCCGAGATTTTCTTGCAAGAAAATATAAAGAATATAGTGAAACTTTCAACAAATGCAAGTGGAGTTGTAACTGGTGTGAAACAGCGTGCCAAAGGCCACAAATATGGTCCGGAGATGAAAGGGCGCGATTGAGGTGTCACTACTGCACAATCCTCCTGATGCAAGTTTATGCCCAAGGGCTAACATGCACTGTACAAGATTTTAGTATCAAACTAGATCTCGCCAACATTTACATTAATGTAGATCTCTTGCCAACATGGTAGTATAATGCAATCTCTGCTCACATTTGTACATTTGTAATATTTTACATAAATTGCTACACCAACATACTGTATATTAACCAAGTGCGTGTGTGTGGCTATTTTACTGTATGGGCGAATTATTTCATTTCAAACAGAAACTAGAAAGATCACACAGTTCGAATTTAAAGCATAGTTCATGAAAACAAATTTGAAGGGGGCATCGCATTTAGTAGGCATATCAGTAATATTTTGGCAACGTGCAACCCTATACTAACTGCTACTCCGTTGGAGAGGGCGGAGGTATTAAAAGACTTGCGATGGCCTCTACAGCTTCAACTAAACAAGAGACCTACAATAACTATAATACTGTAATATTCTTATTCAGCTTACCATTTTGTTCACTTTTGGTTGATTTCTGTATAAATTTTGATATTCAAACCTCGAGAGCACCTTCGCTGTCAAATTACTCAATTACTGTCAAGTTGTCATCTATTATTCTATCTATTTATATCGAGGTCGGACACGCCCACAATTCAAATTAAATGCTGATGCGAGAAACTATAAATAGTCAGGTTTTGTAATGGAAAATGCGTGGGAAAAGAGTCTTCAGTTGGGCACTTTGTGGGAAGTTCCCATGGTCTCTTTGATGGAGAAATTACATAGGAGCCACTGAGATCGTTGATAGGACCCCATATATTTTGCTGTGATTAGAAACGATACGGGAGACTTGCATAGTCTGACGTTTCAAAGCCCATTTTCTACTATAGGCGAATTTGTTCGCGCGAACAGTAAAAAAGTAGGAACTGATCCAACATTTTCGTGGTGAATTTTTCGCTGACCAATCACATTGGCAAAATTTGTTTTTCGCTTCGCGCGAACAAATTCGCCTCAGATATTTTCCAGAGTAGGGTGAGCCCTCCCCACCTCTATAAATACTGCCGAGTTGTCATATTAACATTATGGTTTTGTACGAAAAATTCAAGGCCAAGGGGCGCACCTCCGTTCCATGACCTACGTTTATGATTAAAGAACGTCTCGCTGGTTAGGCAAAACAACGATACTCATCAAACAAAATGACGATAATTACTAGTGGCATACGAACACAAAGATCGGCTTAGATAACACAAGATAATGATGCATGTCAAGTACTATAATACATGTAACTCTATATTACGATGCGGAAGCTTCCTTTTATAGAATACCTGAAGATTTAAATTAGAGACACAAGTTTCTGGTAAGGGGCTGATCACATGAGCTGGGATGAATTGTGTCATGAAACTTTTTTCCCGATCAACAAAAGCACGTTTGAATGAACTTTATACTGTTACTGGAACCAACCTAAGTTAGTTCAACTTTGAAATGTCATTCTGGATGCTTATCAAGGCTGTGATAAGAACTTTACTTTGAAAACGGAATTCTGGCGTTTGAAAACCAAGTTCTGCCATTTGAAAAGGGAGTTTTGACATTTGAAAAGGGAGTTCTGGCTTTTGTAAAGGGAGTTCTCAGTTCTGCCATTTGAAAAGGGAGTTCTGGCATTTGAAAAAGGAGTTCTGGCGTTTGAAAACCAAGTTCTGCCATTTGAAAAGGGAGTTTTGACATTTGAAAAGGGAGTTCTGGCTTTTGTAAAGGGAGTTCTCAGTTCTGCCATTTGAAAAGGGAGTTCTGGCATTTGAAAAAGGAGTTCTGGCGTTTGAAAACCAAGTTCTGCCATTTGAAAAGGGAGTTTTGACATTTGAAAAGGGAGTTCTGGCTTTTGTAAAGGGAGTTCTCAGTTCTGCCATTTGAAAAGGGAGTTCTGGCATTTGAAAAAGGAGTTCTGGCGTTTGAAAACCAAGTTCTGCCATTTGAAAAGGGAGTTTTGACATTTGAAAAGGGAGTTCTGGCTTTTGTAAAGGGAGTTCTCAGTTCTGCCATTTGAAAAGGGAGTTCTGGCATTTGAAAAAGGAGTTCTGGCGTTTGAAAACCAAGTTCTGCCATTTGAAAAGGGAGTTTTGACATTTGAAAAGGGAGTTCTGGCTTTTGTAAAGGGAGTTCTCAGTTCTGCCATTTGAAAAGGGAGTTCTGGCATTTGAAAAAGGAGTTCTGGCGTTTGAAAACCAAGTTCTGCCATTTGAAAAGGGAGTTTTGACATTTGAAAAGGGAGTTCTGGCTTTTGTAAAGGGAGTTCTCAGTTCTGGCATTTGAAAAGGGAGTTCTGGCATTTGAAAAGGGCGTTGTTTTAACTTTTAAAAAGGGAGTTCTGGCATTTGAAAACCAAGTTGTGCCATTTGTAAAGGGAGTTCTGGCATTTGAAAACGGAGTTCTAGCTTTTGAAAAAGGAGTTCCGGCATTTGAAAAGGGAGTTCTGGCATTTGAAAAGGGAGTTCTGGCATTTGAAAAGGGAGTTCTGGCATTTGTAAAGGGAGTTCTGGCATTTGAAAAAGGAGTTCTGGCATTTGGAAAGGGAGTTTTGGCATTTGAAAAGGGAGTTTTGGCATTTGAAAAGGGAGTTTTGGCATTTGTAAAGGGAGTTCTGGCATTTGAAAAAGGAGTTCTGGCATTTGAAAAGGGAGTTCTGGCATTTGGAAAGGGAGTTTTGGCATTTGAAAAGGGAGTTTTGGCATTTGAAAAGGGAGTTCTGGTATTTGAAAAGGGAGTTCTGGCATTTGAAAAGGGAGTTCTGGCATTTGAAAAGGGAGTTTTGGCATTTGAAAAGGGAATTTTTGATTTTTTGTTTTCACATTTCAACGGTACCAATCTTTTTCGCAATTACTCGAAACTGATATTTACATAAGGCTTTATCTTTACATCTTCATTATGCAATATATCATATGCTGATATGACCTACGTTTGTGATTAAACAACATCTCGGCCGGTCAGGCAAAACAACGATACTCCTCAAACAAAATGACGATAATTACTAGTGGCACACGAACATCAAGATCTTAGATAAGATAATGTGCATGTCAAGTACTTTATATAATACATGTAACTCTATATTACGACGCGAAAGCTTCCTTTTATAGAATACCTGAAGATTTAAATTAGAGACACAAGTTCAACATTTCATTTTTTTCTGGTAAGGGGCTGATCATATGAGCCGAGAATTTATTATTTTATTTTATTTATTTTATTATTAAACGAATATTTATACAGGATGTTCACGTCAGTTCAATAAAGAACTGTTATCAATGTGGGTCCTGTCACTAGATAAGTTTAAAATATGCTAGAAATACAGGAATTCAATCATTAGAAGTTTACATATGTATAGATACATATTATCGTATAGTTATAAAAGGTAAAAATGTTAAAAGTTTTCTTCTAAGAGCTTATTAAAAGAGTTAAAATCGTCAGTTTTACGTGTATCCAGGGGCAGATTGTTATAAAGTTTCGCTCCCATGTAGTAAAACGATCCTCTGCTATATTCTAACCGGATTTTTGGCAGTTTAGCTTTGTATCCGTTGTTTCGGGTCATCGTGCTATGTTTGTGCGTTTCAAAATAGTTTATAAAATTCGAACAAACGTTTCCATCTAAACATTTCCGAACCAATACACATGCTTTAATTTGATTGCAGATATGAGGAGATTTTATCCTAAGTTCGTGGTTAGGTTTTGATGCAATTATACCTACGGCACGGCGATGAATTGATAAAAGTTTGTCTTGACGGGTTCTGCATAAATTTAAGTTTAATATGCCACAGTAGGTTAAAATTGGTAAGACCATCCCTTGATAGATGGCCTTCGCCGCCTTGACATTAAGAAAAGGTCTTATCTTTCTTAATAATCTTAGTCTTCCACAAGCTTTCTTATATGTATTATCAAAGTTGGTGTTCATATTCAGTGAATGGTTGATTTCAACACCCAGGTACATATATGTTGTCGTAGATCTAATCAACTGGTCTCTGTAGGTCACGTTTAAGGTTTGCGTGTTTTGTGCCAGGTTTTTAGCAGTACCGAAGAATTGTGTCATGAAAAGTTTTTCCCGATCATAAAAGCACGTTTGAATGAACTTAATTTATACTGTTACTGGAACCAAACTAAGTTAGTTCAACTTTGAAATGACATTTTGGATGTCTATCAAGGCCGTGATAAGAGCTTTACTTTGAAACGGAATTCTGGCGTTTGAAAACCAAGTTGTGCCATTTTAAAAAGGAGTTCTGGCATTTGAAAAGGGAGTTCTAGCATTTGTAAAGGGAGTTCTGGCATTTGTAAAGGGAGTTCTTGCTTATCATACCGGTTGGTTAACCGGGCCAAGCCCATGTGAACCGCTCTATTGCTATTTAATGAGCCCCGATTCTTGCTCTCATCTTTAGCATCTGCAATTCAAGTTAGTAAAAATGAGGCTATTCTGTAATTCTCATCCTCTTTTCGACTCCAGTTTTACATTTTTTTGAATTTTTTTTTATTGAGTTATTTCACATTACCAATCTGATGTCTTATCTTTTTCGTAATTACTCCAAACTGATATTTACATAAGTCTTTATCTTTGCATCCTCATTATGCAAATTTACAACTAACAACCTGCACATGCTTTCATTATTCGTGAATAATTTATAAAGTAGTTGTCTATGTAAACAGTACAAAACCTGAATGCGTACCGACTCGTATTTAACAGCAAAGCAGAGCAACTCACAGCTATATAGGTCTTGCATAGTCGATATAAAAATGTCTAATCAAGAAATCCATAGTGATGACTGTCGCGAAGTGTTCATGCTGTATGATCGAGTAGGAGACAACAAAATACGAGTCGACGAAGTGGGCGAAGTCTTGAGAGCTTTGGGTTCAAATCCCACTGAAAGCGAATTGGCCAAGCTGGAGCAACAGTTCAAAGTTGGCAAAGATACGCGAATCTCGTTTGAAGCATTTTGGCCAATTTTTCAAGCTACGAAAGCTAGGAAATTAACACCAGGTAAATATAAACATTTCACGTTCACAGGGGACTGGGTGAATTTGAAACCTTGCTCAAATTTTTGCACGAGTTGTCTTTCGAGTCCAGACAGGACGGTCATATGTAAGCGGACAAATTCTGGCCAGCCAAACGTGCGAATTGCCAAGTGAACATTTCTCATTAATCTGCAGCGGTATAAGTGATACGTGAACATATGGAACAGAATGGATTTGAAGATGGTCTAAACTTAAACGTTGTACTGTATTTTAAATCTTGTTGATACAACGCTTAGTAAATCGATAATTCAGTTAGTTACAGCCATGTTACACGAGGCGATTTTTGCTCCAACGCAATTTTTGGCACAGAGCAATGTTATGTAAAACATTTCACAGTAACCTTGAGGCACATTTTACTCCACCATCATCGATCCAATAATTTAGTGATTGTTAATGCGTATTTAGTTAAATCATCTTTCAAATATATTTATAATTGAAGTTTTGCATAAGATTTTCTTCAAATGGACAACAATGCCATCCCATTTACAAACTTAATTTTGAAAGTGCAGCGATCCGCAACCATGTGGCATGCATTTCACTCACAATTAAAATGGTCTGGCGTAAGACGGAGTATATAAAACACGAAAATTGTCATCTCAAGTAAAAATTTTCACAAAATAAGAAACAGTTCCTGTTGATATTCGTCCGCCGGATATTATAAGTTGAGGATTCCGACGTTTCGAAGTGAAAACCCGACGTCGTCTGCAGAGTTTCCTGTTTTGTAGTTGCACAAAAATCAAGCGCTTTCTTCACTTGTTTTAGGTGCAGTCTTATATTGTAGTTCGTTCAAAAATATTGATCTATTATTTGCAGTATAAAACTGTGACGTCCAATGTTGTAGTATGTCGATAGATGCTGAAGTGTGAACCTGTTTTAATTACTCGATACTTAGTTGTCGATCAAAGTCGCACTAGTACTTATCGTGTGCCAATGTAAATGCCCTAAAGCTAAACCCATTGTTTGACTGGCTCATTTGCATCACGTTCGGTACATGAAAAGTTAGATTTTTGAACGAGTTGAAATGTCCGCCGTAACAATGCGTGACTCCCAACTCTCATCCTCGTTTGATCGGTGTCACAGTATTTTCG